CCACAGCGGATAGACGGCGCCTCCAGCCTCCACCGCGGTCGATTGGTGAGCGACTCATGTTGAACTCGTGTCTGTGCTCTCCTCGTTTTGCCGTCTTTGTCGCGTATTCTGATGTTTCCTACAAGTTTCTGGGTGTAATTTTGGCGTTTTCCTCGCGTGCACGACGCGAGGAGGACGCAGAAAGAACGCCAAGACAACGCAGCCCAGTGAAGCGAAAACGCGAAAAAGACGCCGGGCGGCCGGCAGGACGGCCTGCCAGCCGGACCCAGCGGGAGTAGAACCACGAGACTTGTTGTTACGAATCTGTCTCGCTATCCACTGGGCCAGAGTGGACGGCTGCTCGGAGCCAGCGGCGTCGCGCTCACATGGACCCCGCCGTGGGCTGTCGGTATTCACACTGACGTTCGGCCTTGTCCACGTTGACCATTAGGTCAACGCCGTCAGCCCACAAGCGGAGCGTGCTGTCGGCTGGCTTGTTGTCCACTTCGAGAACATGACCGTCGCCGTCGACGACAACGACACGCACCCCTGACGCCTTTGTCGTCGACGGCGACGACAAAGACACGCACCCCTGACGCTTTTGTCGTCGACGGCGACGGTCATGTTCTCGGTCGAAGTGGACAACAAGCCAGCCGACAGCACCCTCCGCTTGTGGGCTGACGGCGTTGACCTGGTGGTCAACGTGGACAAGGCGGGGTCCATGTGAGCGCGACGCCGCTGGCTCCGAGCAGCCGTCCACTCTGGCCCAGTGGATAGCGAGACAGATTCGCAACAACAAGTCTCGTGGTTCTACTCCCGCTGGGTCCGGCTGGCAGGCCGTCCTGCCGGCCGCCCGGCGTCTTTTTCGCGTTTTCGCTTCACTGGGCGGCGTTGTCTTGGCGTTCTTTCTGCGTCCTCCTCGCGTCGTGCACGCGAGGAAAACGCCAAAATTACACCCAGAAACTTGTTGGAAACATCAGAATACGCGACAAAGACGGCAAAACGAGGAGAGCACAGACACGAGTTCAACATGAGTCGCTCACCAATCGACCGCGGTGGAGGCTGGAGGCGCCGTCTATCCGCTGTGGCCCCGGTGTTCAATTCGCGTTCTTTAGCCATGCTGAATGCTACTTTAAAGGGGAACATTTGGAGTTATAATCTTGTGCATCTTGTGTTTTTTCAGGGGAAGGATAACGCGAGATAAACGCGAATAGTCTCTGAAAATTTTTACCCGGGACCCTACAGCCCCGCAACGCCCACCACGCCCCGCGCCACGCCCCACACCGCCCCGCACCGCCCCGCACCGCCCCGCGCAACTTCCCGCACCTCTATGATCTGGCAGCCTGCCCCGCTGCTGGATCCGCAAAAATTCCCGACGCGGACCCCTTGCTTGCTGACGGGACGGACGGCAACTTTTAGCGCTCTGTGTAAAGACCGACGACGACCTGACGGTGAACGTTGGGGGGGTAGGGTAGGGGGTGGAACCGAAGGAAAATTCGCGGACGCGGCACGCGGCGGCGGACGGTTTTACAGTGTTCCAGACCGGTTCGAGGGCAGTTCAAAAGCTCACTCAAAAAAAACTGTCTTGTTCCAGAAAAGAATAGTTGATTATTTCTTCAGATACAGCATTTTTTTCGGCAAAGAAAATATAAAATTCAACAAATGTTCTCGTTTGGGCTATGTATTTGGTTGGTATTCACGCACTACCATTGGGCTTGGTGACAACAAAAAAACTCCACGATGTCGACTCAGAAAATCGTTCTTTATTTGTGAAATTAATTGAAAAAGTCAATTCTGAGCAAGATTTCTTTTACAGTGATGTTCATGCTGGCGACAAAGTCATCGGGGAAGGAAAACCGAGAGAGGGGGGATGTGTGTGAGAGGAAGGGGCAAATAGGGAGAATGCCGCTGGTCGCCCGTGCACCGCTGGGCCCCATTGCCTAGGGAAGGGGAGGGGGAGGGGAGACGAGAATGGGGAGGGCAAATAAAAGCAGCCACGAAACGTTCCGCGTTCCCTTTGAATTTTATTCTTTTCCGCGCCGGAGCTTTGTTCCGCCGTCCAATCACTTAGGCCCCTGCACCGGGCCATGCCGCCGGTCCAGAGTCAACGGCCGCGGACAATTTGCGAGCGCCATAGCTGATCAAAAGAACTCCCCAATCCCCTTGGCGTTGGGACCGCCGGTCAAGAGTTCAAATCACGTTTATTCTTATTCCGCCGGCGTTTGAGCGCGATCACCGCGCCGTTTGCCCCGTTGTCACCGTGCGCGGGGAGAAGAGAGCAGATTGCATGGGGGGAAGAGTCGAGGGGGGGCTTTGCAGAATAGGGGATGATCCCCTCCAGGGACCATCATAGGGGTTGACGGACCTAGAGGTGGGTTGGAGAGAAGGGGGAGGAGGGGGGGGGGCCTCTGAGCGGTCGGGACACCTACACGCAGACGGCAGTGCTCAGCCATCACCGGGAGGGGGGGACGACACCTGAGCAACCCGAGGAGAGAGAGAGAGAGCACATCGCGACTGGGAAGAGAGCGGAGCGAGTAGGAGAGAGCTGCACGCCCCCGGTGCCTGCTGCGGCGCCTCCGGCCGGCGTTGACTCAAAAAGGAGTCGCTCAGGCGGGCCTTTTAGACGAGCAGGGGCCGATGTGGGGAGCGCCGCGCGACGACGTCGTGCGCGCAAGAGAACTGCCAAATCCCCCCCAAAAAATAAAATTAAAAAAAATCGAGGCGGGCCGGGCGCACCACCACAAAAAAACAAAACAAAATTATTTGTTTTTGTATTTTAGTTTGTCTCAAAGGAAAATAATGAGTACTTTCATTACAGACGTCGCTCTCCCTTTCATGAATGCATTAATTAAACGCGACTACCTGACTCGCTCCGCGCCGTCACACAGACGAGCTCCCGTCACCAGCGCCGGGGGAGGCGCGGTGGGGTGCCTCTGGCGCGCGGCTGTCCCAACCTGAGCCCACTAGAGCCGCTCTCGTCAAACCCTCCCTCCTCTCCCCCGTCCTCTTTTCCAAAAACAAAAATTCGTATTTTTTTTTTATTTTTTTGAAATAATTAGGCCGCAAAGGACGGTCCCACGCGGAACCAGCACCAGACCATCCCCTTCTAGGCGCGAAAGAAAAGGCGGTGCGGCAGCGGAGGAGGAGGACGACGACGAGGAGAACGAGGACGACGAGGAGAGGGAGGAGAAGGACGAGGAGGAAGAGGAGGAAGAGGAAGAGGAGGAGGAAGAGGAAGAGGAGGAAGAGGAGGAAGAGGAGGAAGAGGGGGAAAAGGAGGAAGAGGAGGAAGAGGAGGGAGAGGAGGAAGAAGGGGGAGAGGAGGAAGAGGGGGGAGAGGAGGAAGAGGGGGACGAGAGGGACGAGGACGACGAGGAGGACGAGGACGACGACGACGACGAGGAGGGCGAGGGCGACGATGGCCAGGAAGGCCGTGAGGGCGAGGAGTGTGAGGATGGCCAGGAGGGCGAGGAGGGCGAGGAGGGCGAGGAGGGCAGGGGGGAGAGGGGGAGGATGAACGCCTGTTAGCTGTTAGAGTCCACTGCATCAGCGCGAAACTCCAGGCCACAAACTTCATGCACAGCGGGCGGAGCGACAGGGTTGGGTCTGAGCGGGTGGTGGGACCTCCCGGGCCTCATCTCGGGAGGGGCAGCTTGCAGCTTGGCTAAAGTCCCGCCCCGTTCCGCCCCGCCCCATCGGCCCCCGGCACGTCATGGCGCCGTCAGTGACGCCCGGCTCTGCCCGGCTCTTATGAGGTCGGGGGGTCACCCCTGCCTGCCTCGTAAAGAGGCGGCACCGAACGGCGGGGCGGCCGCAGGGCATTAGTAGACAAGAGTATCGCCCGCCCCGCCGGCTACTTTTATGGGAGCGCGGCACTCCCGACACCCCCGGGGAGGGCCAGCGTCACGTGACCCTCAGGGCGAGCGCTCTTGCCCGGCACCACCATGCTCCTTCCCTTCCCCCGCCCCGCCGGCCCAGCCGGCCTCGGCCCGCTGCAGGAATCCCCTCTGTTCGGACCGAGAGAGGGCGCAAGAAGTGTACAACTTATTCAAGTTTGAACGCGGAGAAAATCGGTCGATACGAGCAGGGTGCCCGATAAGAGGAACAAGACAAAGGTAGCGTTGGCGGGGTGGCTGGCCTGGCGCTTGTGGCGCCACAAAGATATGAGCGTTCGCAGGTCGTTATGAGACTCCATTCATTTTAGAGTGTGCTTTGAAGGTTAAGTCAAAAAAAAATCCCAAAACTACCGGTAGTGGTTTGCTTTCTCTCATCTGAACAACTGCTTGTTTCTATAGATTCGTCCTTGAACGTCGAGAATCACACTATCAGTCATGCCAGCGAGAAAAACAAAGTACATTCTTTTCTGACCACGCTAGCGGACGGGAGCTGGAGCTAGGGACGGTAGGCAGGCAGGCTGCTGGGAACGTCTTCTGTTTGCTCACGGCGCCGCGCAGGGGATATGGGGCGGGTGGAAAACACCCCCCTCCCCCCCTTTATCACCCTCCACGT